TGTTTCCATTTACTTCAGTTTTTTAGAGGTCACAATTCAAAAAAATCTGAAAGTTTTTTGATCTCACTGGCAACTACAGTATTAAGTATGATCACATGTTTTCAAAAATCTGGATTCAGATACGAAAATTATTTGCAGCTGCAAAAGTTAATTACCAAAACGAACTGACTACTTCAAGATATTTTGCTGTGCTCTCTCTGCATGTATTTTATCAAATTTAATTTGAGGTTGAATATTGGTTACTTGTCAATATTCTGATCAGTAAGTTGCCCAGTTTTATTGTTGATATATTTTATGATACAGTTTTATAAAAAAACATAGGTGAGCTACTAAGAAGATATATGGCTTTTTTTGTTTTGTTATTAACTGAAGTAAATATGAAAAGTAAGGCAAGACAGCTGAACTCTGGGTCTACATTAGTAAGAGTTTGCTCATGAGACCATTTCACTGAATTCTTTTGGCAGAGTCAAAAGAGACGTTGTATTTCCCAAGGAGCTTAAAACACAAAAACCCCTGCTCAGGGTAAGGTATGTTTTTGCCAGTATAATTCAGCCGACACTAGGGCTTTACCGGAACAGTTATGTCAGTCAGGGTGTAACAAAAAAATATGTATGCAGTAAACACAGCTTTCAAGCAGTATGGATAAGCTTCAAAAAGAAACTTTCAAAGAGGTCTAAAGACCTAATACTTGCTTGACGTGGTGTACATTTTTAATGAAGAAAATTAAATCATAAAAAAGTGCCATGTTATAAAAAGTTCTAGAGAAGAATTATTAAGAGACAATATTCAAAAGTGCAGCAGCAAATAACCTTTGCAATGCAGAGGAATGGCAGGAAATAGTTTTAAAGACTAATTCAGCTCCACTGAGGTGTTCTCTACTGACTTAAAAATCCAAAAGTAACCCTAAAAGTGAAAAAAAGAGCACATGGCTAAGCTAGGGATATTGGATGGATATTAAAGAGATATAGATATATATATATATATCAGAACTAGATGGCATATTCAAAGATATATCTATCAGAAATGCTAAATACACACTGAATTGCAACTCATGAGAAACAGAAAGCAATAAGAAGAGGTTCTATGAATACAGCAGAAGAAAAAGAAACATAAATGAAAGTACCAAACAATTAGCAATGAGGAAAAGATGACAAAAGATGAAACTAACAAGGCTGAATCCAATTTCTTCTTTACTTATATTACCACTACCCTCCAATGGTTAACATTAAGTAGAGAGCAAGGAACAGGACCATGGAAAGAACAGGCCTATCATTTAATCCTCACTCATTTAGTAGGCCATAATATATTAAACAGTTTAACAGAACATTAGAAATAATGCATGAGTTGACAATATAGATACCAGCTATACCAAATATGAGTTAAAACCTCAGTTGTGCTGATCAGAAATGTCAAAATCCCTCAGAAATAAGAAAGTACAGATTAGAAGAAATCAACCAAAACTTGCCTTAGGCAAGGTCAGAATGCCAGCTTCCTCATCATAGCTAATACAGAATGAGATAACCTTTCATGAAAAAGGAGAAAATTGTCTAATGATCAGATGAGCTTATTTTACACAGGCTGAGATTATTTACCTCATACAGCTTAAGAAAATTTTATGTTGGCAGTGATCTTACAAGTAAGTACTTTGGTGTGAGACAGCATTGCCCTCACACTGAGCTTGCATTCGTGCTGAGTTTCTCATCTGTGTATCTACTCTCCAATTACAGCCAATGGAGACCCTGATCAATTCCCAGGATCCCTGCCTGGGCACAGGTGCCTACTGCCTCTGGAGATGCCCCAGGGTTTCTCACCACTTCCAGCTGCTGGCTCGGAAGACCCCCAAAAGTCCCATGTGATACCTGCCATGCCATGCAAATATCCTGGCATGTCAAAAGGCACATGTTGCCTATTAAACAGTCTTATCCATTTACGGTTTTAGTCAAAATTCTGTTTGTGTACAACTTTGAGAGCACAGTTTCTACAGGGAAGATTCCCCCAAGTTTTATTTCCTGTTTACTGGAATTAACATTTAAAATATGTTTAGATAAACTGGTTAAATGTGCATCAGCCAGACTCAAACAATCCAGATTTGACATACAGCTGACTACCAAAATCTCCTGGGTGATGTGGAAAGTCCCAGCAGAAGGGAAAAAGTTGGGAAAGGGAAAAGAGAAAAGGGAAAAGCTCATGGACAAACCAGCTTAACCTGAGAGCACTCATGATTCTTTAAGTGCAGAAGCATACAAAACAGTTAACGCAAGTTTGTCATAACAAACAGTATCAAACAAAAATATTTTTATTTTCTGGCAAGATAAACAAGCCTGGAATATTGGAGGAATACACAAATGGGTTTGACCTTAATATGGCCTTTGACTTTGTCCTACCTGATGTTTCTCAAATTCTAACCATGGAAATATCATTTCGATTAAATCACCTGTAGATGGTTACAGAACCAGCTTCATGTGAACCTAAGCATCATTACAGGTGTTCCACAATATTTTGTGCTGGGTCCATTATCTTCCAGTAATTTCAATAATGAAGAATGACTTCATTTAAAAAACCCACACACCACCACACTTTTAAAACAAAATTGTAATCTTGGAGGGGATGCAAGTATTTACAGACCCAAATGGCCTCAATAAACCTGAAAAATTGTCTAAAATCAACATGAAATCAATGAAATTTGTGTACAGTACTCTATCAAGGAAGAAAAAGAAATGTACAGTTACAAAACAAGTCCATTTGGTTGAGCAGCAGCACAGCAGAAAAAGACCTACTGGAACCACAAACTGAACGACAGTTGGCAGGCCAGACAAAAACACACAAATGTCTGGAGCATGGAAGTCCATTCTGCCCAGTGTTCAGAGCCTCATTTAGAGCTGCACAATCAGCACAGAGCATCACACTTTAAAAATTATGCATCGAGTCAGAAAGACTTCAGAAAAGGAAGACAAGCAGATAAAATATTTAGAAAAATATGATACCATTCTATTAAAATCTATGGTGTCCATCTACACCACTAAAAAGCCACCAGTTCAACAATAACTGATAAAACCCTCACATTCACTTGCAACCCAAGTACAAAAAGGGTGAAATCTGTAAACCATACAGAAATCCATTGCCTGTTACAAGAAGCAGTAGCTCACAAAACATAAGATTTTCCTCTTAAACCTCTCAAATAGGCTTTTTGAGCTAGCCTCTGGAACGTGTCTCCTTGCACTCATAATTCTTCCCTTGCTAGATGTGCCTGCCAGTACAGGATCTCACATCTGAAATCCAGCAGACCACCAACATCTCCCTCAACAACATGTAAGCTTTTATCAGCATAGGTTCTGCCAGTGAGGCTGTATTTGTACTAGGAGATTTTGTGAGTCTCACGGGCTGGGGAGGAAGGGAGGGGCAGGATTTGTGCTTGCCTGTGATTCTGTGCTTGTTTATCCACATGGCTCTAGCTGAGAGGGGCACACCAGCACTACCCTGAAGAAGTGACCATGGCCATGGTCAGGCAAACAGCAGAAATGGTTGTGAATCTCTGTCGGCAGGTGTTCAAGCTGTATGGGCTTCCAGTTACCATGTTCTGAGGACTGATGCTCAGATGATCCTCTTCTGTTAGTTTTCCTGACAGGGTGGCAACTTCCAGCTGGTAAGAATTAACAAGCAGCTGGGTAAGGCCAAAAGCAAAGGCTCCTATCTTAAACTGCCACATCATAGCCACCTGGGGCCTAGGCTTCACCTCCATGCAGCCATCATCATTATTTCCAAGACACTGGAAAGAGCAAACAAACGCAAATGTGTCTGTGATGGTGAAGCTTAGTCAAGATTCCTGCAGCACATCAGCTGTAGCACTGCTACAAAGCGGGTGCTTGGCACGAGTTGTTATAAACAGGAGGGGAAAAAGAATCACAGGAATATGGCAAGGCTCACAGGAACACAGCGTGGAACAATAACATAGCCATCTTTGAAGTTTAGGAGAGAGAGACCGAGCCAGAGAGTCACCTACTTAAATGAAAACATCTGTGTCTAATCAAGTATCTAAACCCAAGCTGGCTGACGTGTGCTCCCTTTACTGGCCATGCAGACCCTGTCAGCTGAACCTCAGGGGAAATGCATCGCACCCCAACACAAACAGGCAAAATGGACTCAGATGAGCTGCACTTCACAAGTGGCTACTACTTCTTTTTAGATTGTGAAGGGAGGCTGTGATAAAAGGATTTGGTTTAGACATGTAAAAGTGAAATCCCACCCTACGTGTGTACTGACTATACTAATGAAGACGACAGAAACCAAAATGGAAAAGCTAACAGCATTAGAAAAGAAATCAGGAGCTCAGTAAAATTGATTAATAAAATACTAAGGTGATGAACTATCAGCTAGAACTCAGCAGAATTATCTTTCACCTGATAATGTTGATTTGATAAAAAATATTTACATTTGAAAAGAATTTTTTAGTCCTGGCAAGGTCTACAAAATTCATCCAAGTGCCAAGCTTGGAGGAAATAGATATGATAAAACAAAAATGGAGAAGTTAATTGAAACTTCCATAGTCCTCTCATTGTCTATTTTTAATTATTAGAATTTAGATTACTGCAAGTAAAAGAAGGGACAAAATATGAGGTCAAATGACATTATTTTGCAAAGTGTTGAAAGAGGAGGTAAATGGAAAACTATGGCTTCTCTGTGCAATAATATACTGGTTTAAGCAAATATTGCCATCTACATTTCATGGTACCTACTGAGGTACGATTATTGAGTTGTTTCATGTGCTGTAGTAAATGCTTCACAGAATAATTCAATGTATTTTTAGCTGCAACTGATGATAATTGAGTTCCATAAAACTATGAAAAGCTATTAATGAATAATTTATGAAACTGATGTCAACTGCAGCATGATAAATGTAGCTTGCTGTGGGCACTATTTAGAGCCAAAGAGAGTTGAGGTTTTTTGGCTGGATTTGATAAATACACACAACTTTGCAAAAATGCACATTTTCTCAAACTTACCACTGGTGACTCTCAGCACTCCCAGCATCCAGCTGAACAGCCTTTTCAGCTACAATCTTTCCTGTAAATGGAATACAATATATTTAAGGATTTATTGTACCCTTCCATGTTTTAGACAACTCCCAAGAATGAATCAACCTGACGTGCACTAGCTGCAAAGAAAAAAGCGCTTCCTGCTCCTGTGAACATTTAGATGGACAATTTATCATCCTGCTTTTACAACCCCATACATATATCTATATAAATATGTCCATATATATATGGGTGCAACTTTAGTACTTTATCTTAAAATCCAATTCAGATGCAGCTAAATCAGGGAAGGATTGGATTGAACTGCCAAAGGAGGCCGCGTTGTCTCTAAGACTGAAGACCCTTAAAAGCAGGTTAGAGAAGCACCTGTCAGAAGAACCAGCAAAGCTGTTTCCTGCCTTGGGTATGGGAACGAACTAGATGAATTTCCTTTCCAGCACAGACTTCCATTAAGTTCCACTTTTAACTGAATAAAGATGACAGTAGGTGATTTGATCAAACCCACGCTCACAGTAAGAAGTTGAGATGAGATGCCTGCTGTTTGCAAACTCTCAGCTGCAACAAATTAAGCCACACTGACATTTCTGTATTGCAAGTTAACTTCGTAAAAACAAAGAACAGCATACACGGTTCTCCAATACAGTGGAATGAAAAAAAACATGAAACTACTGCCAGCTCCCCCGCAGTTTCAATCCCTCTGCACCACTTCCAAAAACTGAGATGAAAAAGGCTGCCGCCACCCACCACATCATAAGAATCAGCCAAACTAGGCTGGTTACTCAACACCTAAGACCCAGTTTCATTCCATCACTCTTTATCTGTCTTTGTCTTTTGCTATGCCATTATCTTTCATCAACTGAAGCTACATGTAGTCACTGGTAAAAGCAAAGGATCCAACAACAGAGCTTACTGTTGTAATTCAGTTTGTGTCATAGTTCTCACTGCACTGGGGGATCTCCCTACAAAGAAATCAAGCTGTTACTAAAGCAAAGATCGCCTCAATTAAGTAGCTAAGATGTGCAAGTCTTCCTGAGTATTTAGGTGACCAAAGGATAGGGACAAGGACCTTGGACAAGCTGAGGTTGACTATGGAATACTTAATGACAGCACAAAGGCATGAGACTGCCTTTAAAGATAACAATGGGCAGCCAAAACTGCTTTGCCAGTGATGTTGTCACTGCTGACAGAACAAAAAGTAGAAAATGGGGAAAGAGTCACAAAATACAAAATAAACTGAACTTGGAATATACTTAGAAAACGTGAATTTGGTGCAGCAAAAAAGGGAGAGGCAATGGAGGAAGCAAGGGGAGAGAGAGAGAGAAGTATTCGCAGATACAGGTAAAAAGGATTGCAGGAACAGGGTATAGACTGGAGGAGAGGGACACAGGTAGAGCAGATGTAGGTTTATTGTAATAAAGAGAAGGCAGCCCCAAAATAAGAAGGGTAATGTAAACTGTACCTCTAGACAATATGCATGCAGACAGTGAAAGAAAGGGCAATGTTTTTTAAAAGCAACAAAGAAAAAGTGCTGGGAAGAAGAAAATCAGAACCTTGTTGAGATTAAGCTGTCAAACAGGACACATGGGGAGAGATGCCTGGAAGGAACATCAGTTGTCACACATGACTTCTGTTTCTGGTCAACAATTTTTCTAGATTCACAGTTTCACCCCCAACATCACCATAAAAGAGGCTGCTGATACGCAGCAGCGCTGCTTTGCCACAGGAAAGCAGAAAAACAAACCTTGAATTTGCCTTCACATTTATTCCTCTCACTCTCCCAAAGATATAATTAAGAAACTGTGCTGACAGCATTCTGTATCCATCTGATTCTTTACAAAACACCGAATTTTGTCACCATCCAGAGTTAACAATCTTCAACTGCGACCCACAATACTTCCTCTTCACCAATTTTTGATCTCTCCAGTGAGGAAAACTGGGCTGAAGTTGCATACCATGGCAGTTCATTGTGCAAAATGTTATTATTACAATACAAATGCTCCCACTTATTTGACTGGAAATTGTTTGGATTGGAAAACTTAACCAAAGTTCTCAGCATGTTTCACTTCATTCAAATGGCATTTTACATAAAAATTTTGCCTCTGCTTACCATCAGTAACGTATCTCCTCTTCTCCTCAGCGTCAGTAGTCATCTCAAACAGATCTCCATAAGCGCGTGCAAGTCTCCAAAGAAAGTCCACACAGTTTTCATACTGAAATTAGAGGACAGATAGGCAATTAAACTGATCAGAATGTGATTTAAACAGTTTCCTTTCATAATGCTTAAAGCAGGTTATCAGAACGTGGCATAAATCTTTGGTTATTTTACATCTTTCTATACTACTTTTAGTTTATGTGAGAACCAGATGACCAATTTTTCACAACCAAAGCAGAAGGCTACTTTTGGAAATACCCCTGGCTGTCTAAAGAGGTTTTATTTCATAAATCAGTTTTAAAGTTCTTTTATTATTAAAAAAAAATAAAAAGGCAATCCAGTAAAGTAAAACAGATCCCTGAATGATGTGATGTATGCTTTATTTAGGTATGCCATAAGCACCACACTCACTCACAACTGGTATCTCATCTACCTTCCTGGGTATTTCAATATGCAAATGAAAATATAATCAGAACTGATGTTTGCCAAATCAGAAGAAACTGATACACTCAATTAAGCACTGCACATCAAGCCACTTTAAAATTTTATCTGGAGTTGCGTATGTGCACAGTAAAGTCACAGGAAAAATTCACATGAAGTGTACCAGAAAAATACAAGCAGATTATAGGCTTGTACTTCCATTTTTTGAGAACACTTGATGTGGTTACTACGTAATTCCACAGGACTTCTTCACATAGAGCATTCTAAAATCAGCAAAAGTATAATTTACATAGAAAAAGCCCTGATCTTTCTTTGTTGCATGCATCAAGCAATGCCTCAAAGTTATTAAGCCTGGATGGGATATAAAATAATAAAACTTCTATGCTTACCCAACAGGAATACTGACACCACCTTGAAATATTTCTTTTTCACTGTATTTTAAAAATACACGTGAAATTTCATCTTCCATTCCTGTGTGCATTTTAATGCTTGTATTAAAGAAGTTCTCAAAAGCAGTGCAAATCATAAGTTAACAGCAACATAATATGAAGTTTACCCATTAATACCTCATTGTCTTTTTCAAGCAGCAGTCTGAAGCTCTCCTTTTTATCATCCTCTGAACCCTTGTGCAAATTGTCCACCTTCTGCAGAAGATTAAATAACTCTTCTTCTTCTGCTGATTTCACAATGGCATCAGGCGATTTCATACATCTCTTCTCATCCTCAGAGTCTCCTTCAGAATCAGTATGAGCTGTAAGATAACTAAATCACAGAAAATAATAATTATCTTTTCTAAAAATATTGGTAAAGCACTGTTACATTCAAATGCAAAAATTTTGGTGCACAATTTCTTCCAGTTGTCCTAACTTGAAGGAGTTGTATTTGTGGTATCAAGTTTTTTATTATTATTATTACAAAACCTTTATCTTCAAAGGGACAGCACAATAATATTCCAAACATAACAGCCAAGTAATTGCACGGTCCTGCTGCCTAATATCACATTTAAAAATGCAGATACATATTAGAAACACATGTATCCTTCTGTTTCAAATGCAGAACACACTAAATCATTAATGTTATTAAGACATGCTCTGTAATCTTGAATAGGCCTCTTCAACTCTTTGCTTCCTTTTTTTTTTAAATGATCTTGCTAACCAAAACTTAAGTGCTATAAGAATCACATACAATGTTTTGTTAAACACTTGTAAGATCTAAATATAAGCAGTAACATCCCTGTTATCAATTCCTTCACTTATTTCTTTTGAACATTCTGAAGGTCAGAATATCTGAAACTGGGGAAGAGCTTATATGAATTCATTATGCTCAGTGCACAAGTACTCAGCACAAGGCAATCAAGGACAAAGAAATATTTACAAAAGCCATAAATACCATGCAGAGATAAGCAGGTGGCCTTACTGTCCAAAGTGCTGAGCATAAATTAGGGTCTCCAATTTCACACAGGAGCATGGTTTTTATGCTTATATAGGAGGCATCGTTTTTAAAAAGCAGCTTTTTGCTTATGTACTAAAAATGTACAGAAAAGCCTAATCTTCTGCATTTCTACTTTTGAAAATATTGGTCTGACGAAAAATAATAATGTAAAAGTATTAGCTCCCCGCTTCAGAGATTTTTAAAATGGTAATTCGGAGCAGAAAAAGCAGGAAATGTACTATATACATGAAGCAACTGAATAATTTAAGTAGGTCATGACAGTCAAAATATATAAAATCCATTTTTTCCAGAAACATAACCGGTATAGAATGTTAGCAATATAAATGGAGGTTAATAATCATGGCTATTAAATATTCTGTTTTCAGTACATTGCTTTTGGAAGTGACCAGAACTAAAACACGAGCAGACACACAGCCTGTAAATGAACAAGCTACAGAAGTGCTAGATGTGACATGACAGTTTCACTGCAAAATTAACACGGCGATATGGGAAAGAGTAGTCAAAAATACATTCGTATAAAACAAGACATACATAAACCATGCGCACGTGTTCAAACTCAAAAAACAACTTGGAGCAGAACAGAGATGGGAAGCTTCATATATTTCTACAGATTTGTTTTACATAATCTTGATGACGCTGAAGTTGATGATGCATTCTGTGTTGCATCCTGCAGAGTCTTTAATTGGAAGCCACCGAACATTTATTTTGGCTTTCTGAAGCATCTTTAAAAACAGAGCATCTTGTTCTTTCATAGTTACCTTGAAGTGAGTGCAGAGCTACATCGCATATAGCCTGCATTTGTAAGAGCACTAACTTGACCAAAAGTGCAAGGGATTAGGTGGGAGGGAGGCATCTTTTAGCTCCAATACATAACCCTATGATGTGAAGTATGTTTGGAAAGTACCTTTCCTCACATGGTTTGGATGTGCACTCTCCCCCCCCCAATTAAATGATAAATGCACAGACGGTTTGTGCAATTACTGACCTAAAATAAGGGCACTTTATAATATAGAGTAGCAACAACTAGGCAGTAAAGGCAATTTCAAATTCCCATACAATACTGCAACCACAACATTCCTTAGTTACAGGAATTTGGGCAATGCATTAAATGCTGCCTAAGCAGCATATGGAAGTATGGAATCAGTGTTTGGAAATCAATGTTGATGTAAGTTTTAACTTCGCTGCATAAACATCTGCTAAAACTTCTATGATCACTAGTGTTCCAATGTTAGAAAACAGACAAAAGTGGTTTTCAGAAAAACTTCACTATCCTAGCAAAAAATATAAAGGCCAAGGCTGGGCTGACAGCCAAGCCCTGTCACTCCAAACAAGCACAACAGAGATTTCCAGCAGCAGCGTATCAAACTGTCATGGCCAAACATCAAATTCATATGACATCAGATAAGTCACATGAGAATATTCACTGAGAGACTCAAATGGACAAAGTGTGAAATAGGTCACTATCTAACAGATGATGTGAACCCAAAAAGAGCTAATTATGAAATATGATGCAAGAATAATCTTTTAAGATCGGACCATACTGCATCTATTCTTTCCTCATCCCACTTCTCTAACAGAAACATGGTCCCTGGGCCACATTTATGCTGAGAAACAGCAGAGAGAACAGGTCATTTCTTCCCCTCTCTCTCTCATAGCCCCCTTCCTATGAAATTCTCTCCTACCTCCTCTTTATCTGCTTTTTGAATCCTCGAAGAATTTAAATGTGGAGCAGACCATCTTAAATTTTGATGAGAATGCCATAAATTTCAATTTACTTGTTGACTGCATGCTTTAAAGAAGGCAAAACAATACCTATAATACCACCTGTGAGAAGTGAAAAACACCAGACACCAGTAAGTAACTTCTTTCAGTGTCAGGCAATGCCAGTAATTCTCTGGGGACTGGAACAAACCATACAGCCCTGTGCCTGCTGACACAGATGAGATGACACTGATCTACACTAAGGGTCAGGAGTTTCTACACAACCACCAGAGAAGGATGCCATTCTCAAAATGCTTAAAATCTTCTCCAAGTTTGGTTTGAAGTGAACAGTGTTTTTCATGGAAAGGACACAAGTTAAATGTTCTGACACCAAAATGTCCAAGGGAGTGCAAACAATTGCTAGTGCTTAAGACTGGGCATGCTAGGTACCCCTGAGATGCATCAACATTCCTCTAAATTTTTCCTTTATTTTCTCAGAAAAGTAATTTCCTAGTGCCTTCAGAGAGTCCTCTCTTCCTTCTCTCTTCTTCTTTGGCTCCAGAGCTGACGTTGCCACCTCCCAGCATTTTCCACAGGAAAAGCACCAAGGTGACAGCCAAGGGCTTCATGACTTATTTGTGCTGAGTTCCACCTCACTCGTCACACACCCCAGACTAACTCCCACATTGCTCAAGAGTCACAGGGGTAAAATAACAGCAAGGTAATTTAATCAAGTATAAAACACTAAATATCACTTCAAACATTGTTGCAAACTAGGCATAAAGAATATTTTTCTGTTTTGTTTCTGATGACATTCTTTCTCTTACTAGCTGTCTGATCCTTATCATAACTGAAATGTTTTAAGCATGAAAACATAACATGTTAAGAAGGCAATACAGACTTCTAAAAAATAAGCAGCTAGGGTTTTTTGTAAAAACTTGGGTCAGCTATACTTTACCAATTTGAACTGAAGACAGTTTTATTACAAGATAGGAAGTCCTTCCAGATACTTAAGGACAAAATAAGAATGTAACAGATATTATTGGCATAAAACTATGTTAAAAAGAGCTTGATAACTGACTTCAACAAAGCAGCTAGCAGGCTTATATGTTTATTCATTCTAGAAAAGCACATTATGAAGATCAATACTATTTCAAAACCCCACAGTACTAGCACCAACAGAAGCAGACATTCTTTTTAACACATTTTAAGAACTCCCAAGAGTCTAAGGGCTGATGACACTAATCGAAAAGGGAAATTCACCAAAAAAAAAGAGGAAGAGTCCCTATGGTTTGTTTCAAAAAGATTTCATATAATAACACTGGCATTTGCAATTTTACCTGGTATTTTCCTGCAAGAGGTTTTATCAAATGATAAACAGAAAAGTATTTACATGTGCTAAACAGATTGACCAATATTAGAGAAAATGGAAGAACTTTAAAAATGTCTACAGTCAGTGCCAACTTGTTTTCACCTTTATTACCAATAGATGTTATGTAAAAGATAAAAACATTGGTAAGAATGTGAGGAGCAATGATCAACTAACAGGACTCAGCTGGATCACAAAGGACTGTTCAAAGTTCAAAGGACAAACAGAAACTGTGCTGGAGACTCACCACACTGCGGTGAAGCTGCTCAGTAAATCCACACACCTAGTACTGCATTAAGGAAAAACTGCGCTACATGACATAAAACACCACCGTGGTGCCAACTCACTTTGCTGGTTCAAAAACTGTGTTGGATTGCCTGTAAATTGGCAGACAGTGGGCCTAACCAGGTGTCATCTGTTCACAACACTTCAGCTTTTAGACAGATCAAGTATCATCTGTTGTCTCCCTGCCAGCTTAAAAAAAACCAACAAGCTAATACAAACACTGTCTCATCCACTCCAGTTAATTCAATAGAAAAGTGATTATATGTCACAGACTTATCTGGATCAAATTTGCACTGTATGACCCAGCAGAGTGCATATGCATCAGTAATGATAAGCAGCTTTCAAGGAAAAGTTTGGCAAACCCCATTCTTAGGTCAACTGAGGGTTGCATTGAAAACAAATGGGCAGCAAAAATAAATGAAGCAATCATAAGTGAAGTGATACTCAGAAGCAGGCAAGGGAAATGTTTCTTCCCGCTCAATATTTAAACAACTTCAAGGAATAATTATAAATAAAACATCTGTAGGAAAAGGATTTACTGCAGTGAATCTTTCTGGTAACCGATGCCAAATGTGATTTGAAAAGCTTGGATGCCAGGCCAGCTGAAGAGTGATGCCAAACATGACACTGATGTCAATGGTTCATCACTGCTGTATCAGGGAGGAAACAGCTTTAAAACCACAAAGAGGAGAATGAGATGACACTCTCCAACCCAGGTGATCATCAAGACACAATTTATTGTATTTGTAAATGAATGAGTGCTTGTTGCACATTCTCAAATGTTAAAGTTTGAGGTTTTCACTAGTAAATGATGGACACTGAAACACACTACTAAGAATAGAATACAGAAAAGCACAGACTACAAACCTTGGCTCTTGACTATTCAGTCAATGTCCCATCCATTCACTGTATTCTCCACTCAGGCTGTTATTATGTAAAAATGTATCTCATTTATTAAAAAGCATGGGATATTTTTCCACTTAGGGAAACACATAATTTTTTAAAGGCAAAATAGAAAGCTTCGCTTCCCAAGGTGTTGAAAACCAACAGTGACATTGAGAATATGACCAGAGTAGATCAAAGCAGTGAGGATCCTATCAGAGACCGCCAGCTTCAAATACTTTATGGAAAAAACAGGCAGTATTAAAAGGTATTCTGGAAGAAGTTTACAATTCTGAAACCAATGTAGTCATCCAGCACAAGTCCATAAAAACTTTAAGATTATTTTATCTGTCAATTCCCAGCATCTACCCATTTGTCAGTTAAAACCAGAGGAGATCAAGGCAAGCAAAATCCAATCTTCTGGATCATGAAAATACTGCTGTGGCAGTGAAACACGTTGCATGTACTTTAGGTAAGATACAGAAAGTGAAAAAATGTTCAATCTGTAACAAAGAGAAAAACTCTGGATCATGAAAATACTGCTGTGGCAGTGAAACACGTTGCATGTACTTTAGGTAAGATACAGAAAGTGAAAAAAAGTTTTTCTCTTTGTTACAGATTGAACAATCTCTCAACTGCACGAATTAGCAACTGAATGCATGACCGTGTGTGGAATTCACCGCAGAACAGGATAAAACAATGCACGTGGTGTTATACCTAGAGCACATGAAGTGGTGATGCACATTAACTGGGGAAAAAAAAAATATTGTTATTGTCTCTCATGGCAAACTCTCACAGAACATGCCCCACTGTCATTAAAGTTACATGAGACCTCAGAAAAAGCTATATAAGTTGCAACTGTACACACATTAGTATTAACAACCTATTTCAATTTGCAAGGGAAAGAAAAACAAATGCAGAAAGAAAATTACTTAAATGAAATAAAATTATCTTAAATTTAGAGAAGGTATGAAAAACAAGCACATCAAGTACAAGGTGTCAGTAGGAAAAAACCACCTCCTTTCAGAAGGGATTAAAAATAGCATTGGAAATGCACATACCCAAATGACTAACGCTATCTATAACCTTGAATTATCTTCCTTCCTTCTGACTGTATACAAATACTTGTCAGAGAAGGCCTCTCCTAAGGACACAGTCAAAGCTCCTGCACACTATAATCATTTGTATTGGATCATCTCATCAGCTTCTTCATCACACAGAAGAACATGAACACAAGTTTCCTTGGTTAGTTCTCAAACAGCAATGCAGCTCTCCTGACCAGAAAATGGGATCTTCTCAAATGTCAGGTGTGGAATAATCCCTATACTGTGGCTGTGAAGCTGATGATTCATAAACTGGTCCTTTAGCATTATCTACATCTCCAAGTATTTTACACATAACATAAAGGCCTCTGCAAACCAACTAATGGATAAAACAATCTGAGAAACTAATAGACCTGAGATGTTTCTACAGCATATGAAGGGTGGAACGTCTTTGAATATCCCTACCATTACCAAATACTTAAAATAAAGAAGAAAAAAAAAATAGAGAACTGGTTCATAATAGAACTGACAGATCTCAATATATGTTAACAAAATGTAAGACTTGTGTAGCGTTTGGGCTGGGATGCCACACAAAAGGAAATTCTGCCCACAGGAACTGAAAATTAATGTGAAGGAGCTCTTAAAAAATACAGTTTAATTGATTACTATATGCAGCATGTTGCCGTCTTCAGAATATTACAGTTAACTAATACATCTTTAAAGAAAAAAATGTGATTTAAGATAGGCAATTTACAGCCAACGCTAGTAGGCTGTAATTTGCTGCCTACACAAGTATGTGTAACACTCTGAGGAGACAGTTCAAAAAACTCAGTTGTTATAAAGATACCCTTATTAAATTGCACTTAAGTATCTAATCTGATTATATCAAAACAAAGTTGCAATTACAGGAAAGTAATGTCATCATCATTTTTCCATTACTACTGGAGGGTAACTTAGGTAACATATGCAAAGACAAAAAAAATAGTCCTTCTCTTGGACTTGAGGTGCATCTGATCCTTCAGCACATTCCTCAACTCACACATATAAAACATACCATTAACCACAATGGGACTACAAGATGTGATCAAAACTAGGAACTTTCTACCTTACTGAGTCAGTACCCTAAATTTCTCATGATTACTTTTTAAGCCACCAGAAAGTATATACAACAGCAAATATATATAAACATACTGCTATTTGTACATGTTCCATTTGGACATAGCTTACCTAGCATGTAATACTTTTAGGCAGAATGATGTAATACTAATCTTTAAGGTCCATAGAAGACAACTATCATGAAAAGCACAAGAGCATTCATACAGTTTGAACTAACTCTGTCAGAGACATGACAAGACTGCCTTCTAACTAGAAGCACTTTTAGAATCACACCATTATGGTGAACTTGGCCTCTTATTGCGTAGCCATATAGCAATACTGCACCAGATTGTTACCAAATGCACCCTTAAAAATCTGTATTATGCTTGGCATGAAGCCAAGTTCAGGCACAGGACATTCAAAGATGGTCACCCAGAGTTTTTTCTGATCTAAAAAATACTACTCAGAACTTTTGGTTTTCTCTCCCTCCCCTGAATATAGAGAAATACAAAATATATATAAAAGTTTAAAAGGGCTCCTGTTTACAACACGAAGTTTCGTATAGGTTATGACGCAATTTGCAGTGTATGTGTACTGTACTATATCCAAAATATCATTGACTCACCCTCCTTCACTTTCGGCCTCCTCAGAGCTGGTAGTTTCTGTTGCACCAGGAGCTGTCTCGGCTTTTCTCCGCTTGGTTGCTCTGTGTGATGGGCTAACTCGCTGAACATCTCCCTTCCCCTGAAGCTCAATTCGAACAAGCTCTTCAAGCTTTGGAATAGCTTCCTTCAGAAACTTCACCTCTCTCTTCAGCTCGTCCACACTCACTAGCAAGCCATTCAATTTTTCTAGTATCTGCAGTTGCCTTCCATGTAAAACCATTACTGCTCCTTGCTCATTAGAAGCTTCATTTTGCAAGCCCACAGAACTAAGCCTGTTACCTACATTTACCAATGCAGGTACGTGCACAGCTGTGCCGGGTTTTCGGATCTTATGGTACCAAATCAGCATCAGGCTTATCCCAGCAGTCCCTGCCATTACGCCAAGTATTAGTCCTTTATTTTCGAAGGGCGACATCTCTGCGCTCTCCTAAAATTGTGAGACAACAATAACAGTCGGAGTTAAAGTTATGTTTTCCCCACTCTACCCCAACGACTTCTCTTTTAAGTCACCGGAGTGCGGGCCAGACTAACCGGCACAGGCTGCAGACACCGAGTCCCGGTGCAAGCCCCGCCGGTTCGGCGATGGGCGGCGGGGAGCAGGGAGCACACGGGGACGGGATGGGCTGGGGGGGCTGAGGGGCACGCACTTCTGCACCGACACCTGCGCTGCCTTCGCTTCTAACCCCATCTCGGGGTTTTTATTAATTTGTTGGGTTTTTTTTTAATGAGAGAAACCTACAGAACCGGATTTTCCGCAGCCGCACAGCGGCAGGAAGGCAGCCGTCAGGCCGTAGCCTCCCGCAGGGGTGTCTCCCCGCCGCGCCGCAGGGCTGCCGGACCCCCCCACCGCCTGCCCGCGGGGGACCGCCCGTCCCACAGCCCGCCCCAGCCCCGGCCG